TCGAGGTCACGATAGCTCAGGTGGTAGAGCAGCGGCTTATCAAGCCGAAGGTCGTGGGTTCGAATCCCTCTCGTGCCGTTAACTTTTTTCATCTCATCTAAAAACCTTAATTAATTGTAATGTTTAAAATTACTATGATCACAGGCCGACCATTGAAGATGGTGAATGCCAAAACTCGGCAGACCAGAACAGCGAGGATAGGCGGACCAGAATGGTCAGAATCGGTCTTATGCAGATCGATGTTATGCAATCAATACTTTTTTTACCATTAAACAAGAATGAAAGCGAAATTTTGCCCATGATAATTTTCGTTTTGCGTGCGAACTTTATCCGACGATCGACTAAAAGTCTAATTGAATTTGAAATCGTTTTGGTCGAAAATTAATTAATGATGGTGAGATGTTTGGAAAAAAGTGCGCTAAAACAAATACCCGATAAACGGGAAACCGGTGCAACCGTTGTGGTCTATTGATTATCGAGGTATGGTTAATCCAAATGTCCATGTTATTTAAAATTATTTTTCTGTTCATTAAAATTTCAGAGTTTTCGGAAGAAATTTGCCCTAGAAAGACAAAAGTTTTATTATATGTACCAAATTATATTTACAAAAATAAGTGTATTCCTGACGTTTAATCGGCTAGGAAGTGACATTTTCTTTCTTCGATTAACAAAATAAAAGTATAAAAATGCAATAAACATTATAATTGTTATGAACGGTCTAATGATGCGATGATCGTCTCCGATCATGTTCAACCACTTTTTCTGGTTGGGAGAACCAGAAAAAACTAGACCTTTATAGACCCGTATAGCGACATACCAAAACACGGAGGATAGGTGGTCCAAGATGATGACAAAAGAGTTCATCACCCCGCAGAACTCAATAAATCTCACATTCTGAATATATTAGCAAGTTTCCATCTTGTTCATGTTTTTCGCACATAGTTTTGTCCAATGCATAATAAGTTTTAACAGTATTGTTGCGTTTGCCAGCTACCGAGCATGACAGCGTGTGATGGCTTTTAAAATTTTGAATTCCAGTTGTTATGTGTGGCCGGAAGGATCGAAGGGTTTATTGGCCGAAGGATCGGTTTGTATTCCGTATCCACGATCACGTCTCGTCAACTGAAATCACGTCTGACACGTCCTTTTTACAACTTCCCTTCGCAACCCGCCTCCGTGGTTCTCGCTCTTTCTTCTGTACTGACAATTCCTCCGTGGTCTCATGTTTTTACAAGATGAAGAAGATCGGGCGAATTTTAGACATATGTCGAATCGATTTGGCGATTTCTTGGACATTTGTACGTTAAAGAGGCAGATAAGGCGGGGTTTCTCCAAAAGAAAACAAGTGTATTTTGTAAGATTTTTTCATGGAGTCAGTGGGGTGATGAACCACTTTTTTCTTTCTTTTGTTTAGTCTTATTGTATCTTCAGCAAAATTTTGAAAATTGTCTGACTAGACCAGCAAGGACTGGCGGATCAGGATGATCGGTTTCAGGAGAAATCCCACAACTGTTGACCGAGTAGAGTAGTTTTCTCTACTCGGTCATCAGTTGTAGGTTTTATATTCGATTTTTTTCTGCTAAATCTTGATGTGATATCATCCAACCATCAAAAAAACGGAAGAAACTAAAAACGTGACACAACTTGCAGTGCCAGACCCTTAACCTTAATAAATCCAAAAATACTACAATACTTAATTTTTAGATACGTCTAACAATAAGTGGCATAATAAAATGCTCAAAAATGAATACCGATATTGCCAATTTTGTAATATTTACTTTCCCTAGCATTTTTATTTTATTTTTATTATAAATTGCGTTAATATTTATCAGAAATGATTATGTTTGTACTGAAGGAAAATATAATTAAGGGGTTTTGAAAAATAACAAAATAAATGGTTTTAATTCCATAATTTTATTTATTGGACACAATAACTTTTTTAAACAATTAATCCCGTGCATAATGTCATCTGTTAACTAAAACTTCTGTGCACTTGTTAGGCATACTGTTTATAAGGTCACTAATTTCATAAGGAATTTCACTCCATACATGGTGCAAGGCTGCCCTGAATTGTTGCAGGTCAACTGGCTGTGGATGGTGGTTTTCTGCAAAGCATCCCATATGTGCTCAATGGGATTGAGGTCTGGAGACAATGGTGGAAAGGGCAGATGGGAAATTCGCAGATTTGATGAACAACTCTGCCTCTATGTGGTCTGGCATTGTCATCCAGAAATCAAAAATCCTTGCCAATGAGATCCGTAGTTTGAGGAGTGAATTTCTCGATAATTTCTTGGACATAACGAATTGCTGTGGTTACCTTCAACAAAATGGAGTACAGTTCGTCCTCTATTGTAAATCCCAGCTCAGATAACTGCACTGAAGGGAGCACGAACTGGGGCATTGTACATATCCCGTCCTCGGTAGACTCTTCGGCGCCTGCTTTCACTATACAGACAGAAAGGGACTCATCAGTAAACATAACAGCATTCCAATTGGTGTTCGCTTCTAGGCGCTCGCTGCACCATATTCTCCTGAGTTGCTGGTGGCGGGCTGTTACTGCAGGTCGTCTCAAGGAGCATACGATGTAAGGCCAACTTCCTACAAACGATTACGAACGGCCAAAGGCTTTGCCAAAACATTTTGAACCTCATTTAGGATCTGGCGGGCACTATGGAAAAGGTTCCAAGTCTTGCAGCAGTGACAATATTGCTGTTTTGCCTTAGCGTCGTAATGCTCTGGGATCCACTACTAGGACTCCTTTTGGCACTGGACTACCTCTCGGAATCGGGCTAAAGCTATTAAAATGGAGAAAAGACGAGAAAAGGTGTTTTTACAAAATGAGTTATCTTTATGTTTACTATTCTTAAGTAAATCTGTTATTAAAAATGATGATTAACATGTGTTTGTTTTTGGTTTGTATTTTCTATTTTGTTTCATCCAACTAGCAAGAATATATTAAATGAAAATTTAAATGGTTAATTTAGTTAAAATTAATAGATTAACAATAAATTGCAAATATCCCTCTTCATTTTTGAGCAGTTTATAAAACGCGTAATTTTTTAGTTGAAAGTGAATGCTTCCGTTGCCCGCTGAATGGGTCGATTGCATTGAAATTAGAGGTCGGCCCCACGAAGAAGAAGGAAGTGTAGCCGGTCGTAGAGGGTTTGTCATTGGGTCTGTTCTCCACCCAGAAAGTCTGGACCCGTTCCGCCACGACGTTGAACGTCAACCGGATAAACATTCGGCCCGAATCACAAAGTACAGCAGGGAAATAAGAGGGTCAGGGTTTTGTAATACGTGAGCGAGTGAGTTCCACCCTTCGGCGACAAGACAAGGCTTTCTCCAACCTTGACCTGGAACCCTTTCAAAACTTGTATCTTCTGTCTTGTCATTTTTTTAAACCAATAAACCTAATATACTGTGTAGAATGTTTACTAATAGAAATGTTCGAATGTTAGAATGTTTACTTCAAAATTAAATTCACACTACAAGCCCAAATGTTTATTATATGTTTTAATGAATTAATTAAATATCACTCAACAGGTGAAAGTTCGTGATCTTTTACCCTTTTTATCATAAATTTCAATGAGCAGACGTTGAGTAAATTTATTTACGGGGAAATATAAATAGCATAAATTGTCAGATTTCCTCAGGGGTCTGCGGGTCGGTAAACCTGCAGTCTGATCGTTTCTAATCATTTTGGTTTACCTATTTCTCCCTGTTTTTGGATTATCGCCAATGTAGGCACCAATTTGTCCAAACGCGCCCTGATATTCCAAAACGACAGGGTTAAAATCCCATCATCAAATCAGCAGTAAATAAATCTTTGAATAGTCAATCTCTTCTTTGTTGGTCGTCCTGTAAAGCATCTTTATAACTGATTATTCCGAGATCGTGAGATGCGGTCTGGTGTGACGTAGGTTTTAGAAAAACATTTTCTTTATCGTGCCAACGTTTCGATCTTTATTGAGATCATCTTCAAAGTTTGGGATTTAAACATTGTTTAAATTTTACAAATATATGTAGTCATATTTGAAATTTTAAAACTTTGAAATTTTTTGAACTGGGCGTGAGGTACCCTGTACAATTNAGAAATCGTGAGATGCGGTCTGGTGTGACGTAGGTTTTAGAAAAACATTTTCTTTATCGTGCCAACGTTTCGATCTTTATTGAGATCATCTTCAGGGCTCAAAGGTTTGTTTTTTGTGTAAATGTGGCCTTCTTGTGTGTCGTGTTGAGAGTGGATGAAAAGGTAAGTTCGTATGTAGGCGACTGGAGAGCAACTGCAAAGACGAGAGCAAAGGTGCGTTCGTGGGTAAAGACGACGTGAGAGCAACTGAACAAAAGATGCGTTCGTGCGTACTTGCAGCTTCATAACAACTGACGAGAGTAAAAGGTACGTTTGTGTGTACTTGGTGCGACTAGAAAGCAACTGACTTAAAAAGTGACGTGATTATTCAATATTGGAGGGTGTGGTTTTAGAAGCTGGGCGAATATTGAACGAAAAAGTTTTTTGAAACTAATGTTTTAAATTTCTTCTTAATTTTCTTTTAGTTCAATAATAATAAAGGTTAAATTTTAATAATAAAAATTCACAAACAATTGAAAATAAAGAAGTGACGACCATTTCGAATGATGAAATAGAGACGTGATAGGCAATTATGAAATATCGAGACAACGGTAAAGAATATTGCAAATTGCCTCTAGCAAGACTCCAGAGTTTATAGAGATAAGAGCCAGAAGATTTATTTATTAGATGGGAGGTATTGCAAATTTTCAAGCCGTGTCATGTTCTACACCACTGTTGAAATCTCCAACGAGTCGCGAAAGCGTTTCGACTGTAGAAACTGCAAATCTTCCAAATAGTCCTTTTATTAATTGTTATATTGAGAACAGATTGTGATTGACACATCTCTCTTTCGGGCCGCCCTGTCTCGCTCCTTCAACATCCCCTACCTCGCGGACTTTTTCTTCCGTCCTCTCCTCGACTCCCACTCCGTGTTCCTCTTGGAGCGAGGCCCAAGTTCGGCCCTGCTCCATTCAGAATCGAGTACCAACGACGAAAAGACATGAACTCGTTCATCGCACTCTTTGCAATAATATCATGTGAGTAAGACATAAAATAGAAGAAGAAGGGCGGCTGTGTGTGCATTCCAGTTTAGAATCGGTGTGATTTTGTGCGTAGTTGTGGATTTCACTCGTAGGATTTTGGATTTGTTTATCTCATCTTTTTCCTCAAACAATCCTCATTCATATTAGATAACGAGATCGAAAGAGAATTTGTTAGAATGTGTGTGTGTGTGTGTGTGCGTGCGTGCGTGCGTGCGTGCGTGCGTGTGTGTGTATGAGAGAGAGAGAGAGAGAGAGAGAGAGAGAGAGAGAGAGAGAGAGAGAGAGTGAGAAAGTGAGTGAGAATTTTAATTTGATTTGATAAACGATTTATTTTTACAAATCTCGCAGAGTTAGGTCAATTTGACCTTTCTTATACTCAACTAGAAACGAACATTTTACAATTTGAACTTACATTACTTCTAGATGACCATAACAATAGAAAATATAAAATTTAAGCTGAATAAGTATTTGTGTGAAAGAGGGTTTGAAAAGGTTTGACAATTGAATTAATTTTTTATAAAATTTTACAACATTTTAAAATGAATTTTGAATTAAATTTCTCATTTAATCGATTTTATTTCACTATGCTGAACACTAAAATGTAAGCAGGGATTTAAGTACATTAACATATTTTCGACTTTATCAATATCAGAAAACTTATAGGGCACATTTCTGTATGTAGAGTTTTTATTTTTTATTTTTGTGTCTTTACACGATTGAATTCCAAATTTTCTGAATTGATCAAAAAAAATTTTTTTTACTACATCCACAACATCCAATACTTCAAAAAAGGTTGTTATTTGTTATTGTGAGTGTGTCTATCCTAAAACATGACGATGGCAGAAATGTACAAATTTCTGTAAGAGAATGGTCACAAATTTCCCGTTTTGAACTAACAAAAAATAGATTTATATAAAATTTAAACCCTCGATCATAATCGAAAAAATATTATGCCAAAAAAGGTTATCTCGTAGATAAGGCAGAGTGGTCTGAAAGTTTTGACCACTCTCTTTAGTCATTAGGATCGATTTTTTAACTATTAGTCTTTAAACAGCACAAATGTCATTATCACTGAGTTAACCTTATTTTTATTACACCTTATCCGTCAAAAGATCTTAGGTACGACAAATAAAATACTATTAAAAATATCGTTCAAAATGAGCAATGTTGACCTTCAAAATGTTTTTAATAGTATTAAATCCGTTTCAAATCAAGAATTGATGCAATCACCGGTAATGCTTAGAACTTGAAGACTAAGAAATTTCAGCTTATATTGGTGCAAAGCGTTCATTAACATGTCCATTAAAAACAACATAACAATACATAACACCAATTTTAATGTCAAGTGCCAAGTAACTACTTACTGTGAAATTCTTAAAGTATTAATTACTTTGAAGTTCCCAAGCTGGAGTGAAAGGCCCGGATTTTTATTGATACCGGCTAAAAGGAGATTTGGCGGATTTCTGCTTCAACATTAAAATGAATAGCGGCGTAGAAAGTCGATCTCGAAACCGTTTTCTCTGTTATGAACTTATTAGCAAAGCAGGTGTCCGTCGGCTGTAAACAATTATTTTAACAGGCCTCCCATTATATCCACCCTTGAGGCGTTAAATTGGAAAACAAACTGGATATTCTTATTCTGGTTAATTAGACTCTTTACCGAGATCCAAATTTATATGAACTTGAATATATGAACGTCTTCACACCATTAGTCCGAGACGTTGGAGATTTGTTAAAATTGTGGACATCTTAGCTGCCGTCTTGCAGGACGGATTTTTCCCTCCTGCTTTTTCAAAATTCCAAAGCGTTTTTGTACAATTTATTCGGTCAAAGTCAAAACCTCAAGGAAGTTATTTTCTTTAAAGTAGCTTGCCAGGGTTATATTCATAGTTCTCCGCACTAATTACCAAATGCCATTGAAGGGGATTTTCAATGAGTATGGAACTTGACGAAACACCAACAGAAACTCTCACATCTTTTTTGGAAACGATGAACTCAATAACTTGGTTTGTGAATAGAACGATCCTTTCAAAAAAGTGAATTGATATACTCACCATACCTCAATTTTTTCTATTCACATATCTTGTAAATCAATGTTAAGTGTGAATTCATTATTAGCAATATTACTACTCAATTTTGTAACCACAATTTTCTGGGTGGTGGAACTTACGAAATGTGTTGACAAGAAAAATTTACCATTGAGCAATTTTGTTTTGACGGCGTGGAAGCCGTGTAGTGGAAAATCCAACGTGACCAAATAGGTCAACCGTCATCCCATACATAATGTCTTAATTTACCTAAAGTTAAATTCCCATCCTATGTCCTAATTCTCAGACTCTTTGATAGCCGGCTAAAAATAATAATTGTCATTTTCTAGATATTTCGCGGGTTTCACTAATTAAAAAAGACACTTATTTGCATAAAAGCATTTATCATTTTAGAAAGAACGGGAGAGAGAGAGAGAGAGAGAGAGAGAGAGAGAGAGAGAGAGAGAGAGTGAGCGAGAATTTTGATTTGATTTGATAAACGATTTATTTTTACAAATCTCGCAGAGTTAGATCAATTTGACCTTTCTTATACTCAACTAGAAACGAACATTTTACAATTTGAACTTACATTACTTCTAGATGACCATATAAACATAACAATATAAAATATAAAATTTAAGTTGAATGAGGAACAGTAAGAATAATCAAATAAAAATTTACGTTCATTTAACTGTAATAAATAATCAAAGAAAGAAATCATATAATTAAAAAATTTACTAACCATTACACACATATAAAATTAAATTTTCATCACCTCATTAAAAACTGTAATAAATCTATTTAGAAACAAATCGGGAAAAGAACTTTTCTTTTACTTACAACTCAAACTTACAAATTTGTGCAAAATAACTTACAATACACTATAATAATTTGAACACTGTTAAGATTCTTAAAATAAAGTGATGGAGGGAGTGTATGAGAAAGATGGAGAGAGATTAGAAAGAGAGTGTTGGAGAGAGCGAGAGTGAGGATGAAGAAGAAGAAGAAGGAGAAGAAGGAAGAAAGAGTGAGAGAGAGAGAGAGAGAGAGAGAGAGAGAGAGAGAGAGAATGAGAGTGAGAGTGAGAGAGAGAGAGGGAGAGCGATAGTGGTTCGTTTATTCATATCAATCCCTGATCAGGATTTCGGGCTTTTTTACATAACTACATATAGTTCTGCAAGGTTTTTATGTAGTATACAAAATTGTGAAATTAACCATTTTCCGTACTTATATCCAAAATAATTCTTCACTTTACCGTACCTGAGATATTTAGGTCTAAATTTATATATTTTTTAAAATGTTTATTAAATATTTTTCTTACTGTAACGTAGGAAAAAACGCGGGGGCCGAAGGCAGTACCGATTCTAATCAATTCGGTACCGTTCAATGCAAATTTTTATGCAGATGTGTCCGTGTTGTGAAAGTGTGCATTAAATAGACGAGGCGTGGACCTTGCTAAAAAAAATTTTCGTTTAAATTTCACTCCCCGAATCGACAGACTTTTGTCACTTTGTATAATTATCTAATATTTGTCCTCTACTAACACCAACTTCAAGTTTTCGTTGAAAGTTTATGCACTTACATAATTTTCTAATTCGAAAATCAGACGATAATATGAAGTAAATTTTTTACTTTAATCAATTAATTTTGGCCCGCAATACTTGTTTATTCTACATTCTTCAGCAGGATTTCTCTTACGCACCTACTGCCGTAATTAAATCAATTTATTTACAACGTACAATGTAATATTTACAATGTACATCGCTAACCGATTAATGATTACATTTTTACGGATTTTTTTTTGATAATTATGAAATTTATACGAATTTCTCTTATGCTACTCGTGCTATTTTCTCGTATACATCATTGCGTTTATTTACTCCGATTTCTCTGTTTTGCTTTTTCTTTTACACCACTTCGATTCTGCGGTTGCTTCGGAACATCTGCAGATATGACAAATATCACATGCATAGCAGATTGGTGAATACAATGGAAAATGGACATAAGGCAAATGCATCCACGTACTACAACAATGTTCCTATCCCCAAAACAGACTGTCTTCCTTGCCTCGGGTTTATTTCGTCAAATTGCATAGAACTTACTTTACAAGTATATGACTACTCTACGAACTTACTGAATGACAATCCAAGCTATCGACAAAAAACAAGCTTACGGTCTACAAAACGCTACTTCAACCGATTTCAACATACGGTATAAAATTGTGAAGAACCGCTAAACCTTGTAATATCCAACGTCTCCAATTCTTTCGGTAAAAAGTACTCAGATTAATTATAAACGCTCCGTATTATTTATCCAATACTACCCTACACGAACACCTATCTTCCTAATATTCTCGCCCAAGCCTTGTCCAACAGAACTCATCCCTACATTCACATAAGGCGACTCAAGAGGAAATGGCGACCTCTTTTTTTGAGGATTAGGCAGTGAAATTTATTTAGTGAAATTAAGCGGGAGAATAATAATTGATTATTTCAGATAACGATATTATTATTAATTTTTGTGGTATTTTTACCTATTACCTGGAACAACAAATCAACGTAATAACAAAAAAAGTTTTGATAACGCCTTTTTTTAAACCAATTTTTGACTTTCTACATCCCAGAAATTGACAAGAGCTCGAACTTGTTTCTACAAAACTTATCTTCGGCTGCATTTAGGCAAAATTTGACATTAGTGAAGATTTATATATTGATTTAATTTTTAAATTTTATAATTTTTTTATTTATGTTATTTAAAGTTTATCTTTGACGCTTATACAAGAAACATATAACCGGCCCTTCAATACCGGTCAGCTTAAGATGAATTAAAATTGCTTTGATTTCTTTATATTTTTTCAGCACAACTATTAAACTGGAATTTCAGAAATGTTAAGTTTTTATAATCGCCGAGTGCTTTGGTTTGTTTCAGGTGGCGTCGCTCAGAACTTCAAGTGTCCGGAGAAGAATGGCTTCTACCCGGACTTGGTACAGTGCGACCTGTACTACCACTGTGTCAACGGTGAGGCCGAGGAGAAACTCTGCCCTGATGGACTGCTCTTCGACGATGGGAACCCCAGCCATGAGAGATGCGACACCTCCGTCAACGTTGACTGTGGGGATAGGACAGAATTGCGTGAGTCTAAATCCAAACATGTACAAAAACGTACTCATATTAAAAAAATTCACCCGTTGGTTTTATCTGACATGTGAAATTTTACTTGTTACAGTAGACTAAAATATATATAGGTTTCCAATGTATGATGGCCTCTAAAGTATGCGTTTCTAGTATTTTGTTCATTTAATATCATCCTGGTCATCTATTCTCACTGGTTTGCTCTTTCAGATGTAAGATTCAACTACTATAATACTGCAAATCTCATTAAAATATCACAAATTGAATAAAGTATTGTTGCATACTAACATTCTCTTTGAAAAAGGGCTATGATTAAGGTTTCTTATGCACTCTGGGTTGAATGGAGAAATAACAGTAATCACTCAAGCAATCCAAAAATATTATAGCAGTTGAGAAAACAATTATCAGGTTTTAGCAGCACTGCAGACTTGATGGGCATCTGAGAAAGATAGGTACTAATAAAAATTCTATGTTTACAATGCAACCAAAGAAAGCCCAAACTAGCTGGCAGACGGTACTGCACTACTCATCTTTGCAGACAGTAGTGTTTTTGGAACCCATAACACTTTTATAGAAGAAATATTTGCAAGCAAGCCATGTAATCAAGTTTCATTGGCAAATTTAGTCTCATCAGTGTACTATAAGTACAGAATAGGAATATGTATTTCTTGGGTTTCGTTTCAGAAACTAGAGAACCATCAAACTGGTTTTCCTTTTATTGATATCAATTTCAGGGGCATCAGTCTCCCCACATCTGTCTTGTTTTCTTTTTAGAAACGCATGGGGTAATAAAAAACATGAGAATAAATAGTAGTTTGTTATTACTCCAGAATTTCTTTTTTTGAACAGAAATTGATATCAATAAAAAGAAAAGAGTTTGATGGATATCTAGTTCCTGAAAAGAAACCCAGAAATATCAAAAGTCAACTACCAAAAAAAGAAGAGTAAAAAATATAGCATGGGAATTGGCTCTTAAAAGGCACAGTATAGCATAATCCCTGAAAACTTGCTCAATCAATTAATCATCGATCTAGATATAATTTGTACATATGTCACTCAGAAAATTAGCAAAACAGTACAGGGATTAAACAAGTTGTAAGACGTGTGATGTCATACCTAGTTACACTCTATAACATATCAGACTTAGTATTTTTATAAGAGACAGTTACACAAGTTGTTTCTATATTTGTGATGATAGATATTATATATCTTAATGGAAAAGTAAACTACTAGCATGCATATGTATGGGGTGGCAATGATTATTGGGTGATACATTTACACAATATACAAAAATATATTGAGAAGCCATCTACAAACTCCAATTTACATACTAGCGGAATTCCATGTATTTTTTTGGATGATAAATTTGGGCAAATAAATAGCAGACTGCTTCAACCATGCCAATGTATTTCGGGCCGACCTAACTTCACTTTTCAGAGTGCATTGGGTAAAGCAACAACAATTCGAACAAGAATAGAAAGGAGTTTGTTATTACTCTGAGATCTGAAGAGGCAACATTGGCCCTGAAATGCATCGACATCAATAAATAAATTATTTGACGCGTTCGCTATTTATTCCTCCCAATCTATAATAAAAGAAAATACAGTCAACCAAAAAAGGAAGAAGAGTAGTAATTCAAGTATTTTATTACATTTTCAGAAGAGCCAAAGGCGACAAAAGGGTGTCCTCGTGCTAATGGCTTCTTCAGGCATCCTGACGAAGAGGTGTGTGACAAGTTCGTCAACTGTATAGACGGAGTGCCAAATGAGATGCCCTGCCCACCAAGCCTTGTTTACGACGATGCTGCCAGCTCGTGTACCTGGGCTGTTGATTCCGTGAGAAAATGCACCACGACCAAAAGAGGTAGGTATTACATTTATTTATTTACACTATTTTACACAAATTAAGCACCAAGTGGATATAAATTGACAATTAATTTAAATAGATGACTAAACAATCTTAAGTACAAAACAAATGTTTCATTTCATCCACTGACCATGTGGCCTTTAAAATGTTAATTATTTTGCTGGACAGGCAATAAACATGGTAAATACTTTAGAAAAACAGCTTAAGTTATAGAAAAGTTTTTTCTTAAATTGGTTCAACTGTTTAACAAAATAAGACAAATGTGATGATTTTGATGAATTATTAGTTTCATCTTTTGTCAGGACTAAATGTTTCATTATTCCAAAATATCCAACACCAAAATACTCTTCACTATCTAGCATTTATTAAAATATTTGTTTTTGCTATCAATAATTTTTTAAAATTTTTTTGTACCCATACTTCATATGTTGAAATAGCATATTCTTCAAAATGTATAGTTATAAAGTAAAAGATATGTCTAATTAAAAGTTAGGTAATTTTTTCACCTGTGAACCATAATTTAGCATATGACATTTATTATGAATAAACGAATTTATGGTTGACTAGGGAGGTAATAACTTATTAGATAATAAGTATAATCTTTTACATTAAAATAACAAATAAAGGTTTCAACCAATTATTTAGCCCTGCATTAACTATCATGCTTCAATTTTTATTTTTAAGTATAAAAGGAAATATAAATTAATTATATTTTTTGTTTTTCTAGTTTGTTAAAAACTTCTTGAAATTGTAAAATAATCTATATTTTCTTATATTTATTTTACGTTTCTGTTTAGAATCGACCCCTGATCTAACTGTATTTTCCCCCCCTAGATTCACTCGATGATGGATTCTCCTGCCCAGAAGGAGAAGTGATGGGGCCAAATGGTAGGACGCTCCCACACCCGACATTCGCCCACCCAGACGACTGCCAGAAATTTTACATCTGCAGGAATGGCGTTACACCACAGCATGGTTCCTGTGCGGACAATCAAGTCTACAATGAAGAAACATTCCAGTGTGACGAACCAGAAAACGTGCCTGGATGGTAATAATTATTTAATTATACTAATTGCTTAATTCTTTTTTTAATGCCTATATTTTGCAGTGAAAACTGGTTTGATGAAGACAAGAAGAAACCTTGAACAACTGATTAGTTTATAAAGTTAATTTTAAATTTAAATGGCTTGGTTTAAACCAAGCAATAAAAGAGAAAATATTTAAATCAAACTTAAGTTATTTTCAGAGGTCCACATTTTACAAGTGTTGTGATATTCCTAAAATTTTACATTAAGTAATAAATAAATTTATAATAAACTCTTGACATTTGTTTCTGGTGATTGGTTGGGAAGTAATATTTTATAATAGGGTAATTTATATTAGAGATATTTTACACTAAATCGCATCATAAGTTGTGGATGAAAGAGTCAACTGTCAGGAAAATGTTTGTAAATAATTAGAAGTCATGCTAAACCAGGATTGGGCCAGTCTTCACTTGTAGGTTTGTTGAACTACACAAATGCATTTCGGCATTGTGCCATCTTCAGCGAGGAACTAGACTTACCCCCAGCACTAGAGACACAATGGCGGTTCAACATGAGTTCACTAACTCACAGAATGACACACAGCATGGTGGTTTGAGAATATATTATCACTATTTTAAGAAAGCAAGTGAGTGTGTTGGTGGCTGAACCAGTTTTAGGTATTGAAAAAAAAGAAGAAAAGAAAGTAGTAAACATGTATGACATGCAGTCCTTATTTAGGTTTAGTAAATGAAAAAGAAAGCTTATTTTGACAGTCAACTTACATTTAAAAAACATTTATTAAATAATTACTGTGATATTTAAATATTTATAAAAATTTTGTGACTTAATTAATTGAGTTAATTATATGAAACATTAACTCACTTAATTTACATTATCAGGATATACGTTGTTCTCATCCTCCTCGGCAATCTTGTGAACCACCTCTTGTATATCAGCGATCAACTTTTTCCTAAGATGTTCTGATGAAATGGAACGATATTCGTGTGCTATCATTTCTCCAAAAAGCAAACACTCGTCGTTCAGTTTTTGCACTGTTTCTATAGTCCTTTGCAATACTCTTTTTTCAATGACAACCACTTCGTTCATCCTCTTCTTCTTTTTCTTTTTCGGAACGTTGTGCGGCAAATCGAGTGGAGCGATGCAGCCTTCGCTGTCCGAATACATTTCTCGGTTCTGTAAAAACAACACTGACTCGGTATTGCAGATGTGGGTAAAATAAAGCTGACTCACATCGTAACTGAATCCTAGATTGATGGAGGGCACGACGTTCGGATGCAGCTTCCTCTGCCTTTCCTTGTATCCCATAAGCTCAGCCCTGAGATTCCTCCTGAAGTCCGTGGGCTTGAAGTGGTCTGAGCAGACGTAGGAAGATTTCGGATTCCATCCCGTGAACCTATTGCACCTGGACACCCAAACAGCCCTCAACTCCGGATCTCTAGGAAAGCTGAAAAAAAACGGATTTAGGAGGAAAAAGGACGGAATCTATCATAAATGTACTGACGTATGAAACGACAAGTCGGTCCTTCCAAGTTTCTTAGCGCGATAAGAGGAATTTCCACACGTGCCGATGGCACACCAAGAGCCGGGCATAACCCAAAATCCGGATCAAGCTATCTCTTTCTCCTCCACTCTCAAGTCCGTTTGACTTTCAAGTACGTCATTTATTTAAACCGTTATAACTAAAGAAAGGAGAGGAAAACTGAGCAACGGTCTCGCAGAAGTCTCAACGAATGGAAGGTTATTCGACCTTTTTTCCTGCTGCACGATTACGCGTCATCAGGATCACAAACCCTTCGACGTTCGAAACCGCCGGCTGCAGTTTCCGATAAAAACGAACTTTCTGCGTTTCAAAATAAGGTTATCGCCAATCGGTCGAGGTTTCAAGGACGATACACCGTTTTAATCGGAAAGAATTGTAGGATAAAGCGCTAAAATTATGGCGAATTCTATGACGAACTCGAGTGTCTGTTATCAAAGTTATCAGTTGTCAGATTCTAGATGGCAGGTTATGTCAAACAGAGTAACAATTTAAAAAAATCCGACCGAGTTCGGCGATGAAGAGGACAGGTCGAGATTCACAGGATACGGAGAGCGATGACCCACAGGTATCGGCATCAGGCTTCATATAATAATAATGTATTTAATCGTCATAATTGACCGTATTAATTATTTTAATTAATTTTTATTTAAGGTCTTGTTTGAGTTGAAAAAGCTAGTGTCACGAGCTGGATAGTCAATAAGTTGACGCACACCTAATGATTATTGCAAAAATTTTATAAAATTCAGAGCAATCAGGAGTCAGTTTTCTTTTTAGAAAGTAATTTAACTTTATGAAATATTTAGTTAGTTTCTTGTATTTGGAGAATATTATTTTACTTTATTTTTCCATTAAGCCATTAAAATATTGGTTTGGCAAGAAAGTAATGTCGTTTTTCAATTTTAAAGCTGTGAAAATCACTCACGCAACTGTTTTGAGAAACTTGTGGTGTATGTTTCGAGGTGAGCCGACTGTTTGTCGGTTTTTAGTGTGTATCAAAGTGTTACGCATTGTTTATTTCTCTCTCTGTAAACGCACGTCTCAAGTATGAGAGTGAACCAGGAGGACTGCATTTGACTTATATGAATGTATCAGTTACCGATTTTTGTGAGATGCTGAAGCTAAAACTCATACAAGAACAAGAGAGAAGATGCATGGAATGGAATGAGCATAAAAATGGGACGAAGACAAAAAGTATCGCCATAATAGCAAACAAGCAAGCTGGTATAGTTATATGCTTGACTCTCACAAACTGATGGCTCCCTTTGTTTTGCCTCTAGTTTGTGAAATGTTTTACCCCGTGGAAATGGCTACTGCGAGATAGGGTTTTGTGAGTGATTCTTGCGTTTAGTTGCTTAAATGTAATTAAATGAAATCCATAAATGAAATTAGCTCAATATTTACATTTTTGTCTATATTATTTTCCTTTAAATACACGCTTGTTTAATCCCTAAATTAAAAGGCTTTATTTCTCCCAAATTTCTGTTTTCAACTTCTTTAGTTGTATCAAATAATTTAATAGGTAAATTATGAATTTCAAAAAAGGAACAAAGCAAGTTGTAACTGAAAATTTGTGTGTAGCATTTGGTACCAATGCTGTAAATGTGATTTACTCGATTTAGAGAAGAAAATTTTATTCTAGAAGATAATGTGCACAGTGGACGTTTTTCTGAAGTTGGTGATGTTAAATGTTTCATATACAATAATTAGAAACCACATCCAAAGACTTGGGTTTGTTCAAAAGTACGCTATCTGATCCGGTGGGTCAGGTTCATCCCCTTGCATTTTGAGCTTTTACCACAAGTGCAAATGGTTACTAGCGAACAGCTAATGCTTAGACCTTCAAATAAAGTAAAAATGATGTGCACTAGCAAACAGAAAAGTCTTTTACCATGACAATTTACGCCTCATGTCGCTTTTGGGGCCCAAACAATTATTAACTAATCTGAATTGGGGAATTTTATCATGCTCACCACATTCTCTGGACATTTCACCTTGTGACTACCATTTATTTCGGTCATCATAAAATTTTTAAAATGACCAAAAGTTTTAGTGTTTAAACATTCCTTGGCTCAAAAGATGGAAATTTCTATGCGAAAAAATAGACACTACCTGAAAGATGGGAAAAAGTAATTGTAAATAAATACATGTAATAAAAAATTGATTGGTTTTAGAGTCCGGTGGAAGTTGACTTAGACCTTGTCAAGGAAGAAATTTTTTCAGATGAAGAAATTGAGCCATTAACAACTAATGTGAGTATTACAAGTTCATTTTATAAATTAATGATTGACAAGTGACTTTTCAGGGGGAGAACTTGGATTTACAAGTGAAACAAGAGTACGATACCGATGCCCAAGAACCTCTCAATGCCGAAGATGAAAAGCACGGTGCTTATGTGTCAATCAACGCTGAGATAGTAAAGAAGGCCATTACTGCCGTGAACAGGCTGACTGACGACTGCTCGATATTCGGAGACTTTGTTGCCAGCGAGCTCAGATCACTCAAATCTAAGAAGATGAAGATGAAGTTGCAGAGCAGAATTCAGAAGGCGATTCTCAAAGTGGCTGAAGAGGATGAAGAACTGCACACAGCCCAAGAAAACTCTATACAATAGATTGTGCATTAAAAAAAAAAATTATATACTGTACATATTAAAAAGGTATTAATGCTAATGTAAAACAATTTTATTTATTATGCTTCTTGTTAGTTTGTATTATCATTAATTAAAATGTTTTGACATACAATTGAAAGTTTATTATATAAAAAAATAGATTACAATCTGCATTTGATTGCCTTCAGTATGACATTTCTTTCTATGGAACTCCATAATTATTAGGATAAGATTTAGTTCCAGATAAATTTATAGAATAAAAAATATTGCTGGCACTAAAATCTGATTTCATTGCCTTAATAATCCGCAATTATACAATATGTAATTTTATATTAACAATTTGCAAAAGGACTGAGATTACCACTGCTATTTTACCTACTTGAATGTTAATTTTGCATTTTAAAATAAGAAAAATAATTAATTTATGATCATACATTCTTGGTTTGGAGAATTATGAATGCCATCATCCTGCAACCAGTTCGAATCAAGGGAAAAATAATTTGTAACAAAATTTGTATAATAATCTATTCTTTAATTTTACATTACATACATTTTCTTAAATTAAAGGAATGTTAAAGCATAATTGATTGCTACTGGTATTATCACAAAGTTGGGTTGCAAAAACAAATATTCTATATAAAAATAAAGCCAGCAAAAAAATATCAGAAAATACTATTTACTAGGCTATACACATAACACAGAAGGATCTGTTAACAGTCTAATATGTCATCTTCATCTCCACCGATTGCATTCCAATATGCAAGGACGATTTGTTCTGCAAACTGTTTGCGATCTTCGCTACCCATTGAGGTCGCTTTTTCCTTCAAACTCACCAACTGGCCGAACAGGTCGTTGAAGTCACCCCCTTCAAGTAGGTCTTCTGGATCCGGTTCGATGTTATCGGGGTTTAATGCCCTATGGTCCGCATCTGCGCTTTTGCATAATCCTCCGTGCCAAAGGCCGGACAGAGTTGTTGGATCCTTCCTCTCCTTAATCGTCAAGTTGGGCCAGACGTGTGCCTCAAGCGCCTGATTCACTCTTCGAATCCCTGTCGTCTCGACAAAGTCTTGTTCCTCCTCCCATTCTTCGTCGACGAGTGGATCTACTTCAACCAACTCGAAGCCGTTGATGACGCACCATTCTTGTACCTGGACCTTGCCCACTCCCGTTTCTGAGACATCCTTGCACCTGTTACACAGCAGGATTTTAATGTCGGCTCCGTATTCTTTCAGGTACCTGAGCCACTCGTTGACTCCTTCGATGGCATTTTTCGAATCGCTGTCGAAATTGATGATGACCGCGTGGACCGTCTCGGCGAACGACTTGCTCGCCAAAGACTTTTCCCTCATCGCGCACAGTCTGATATCCGCTTCGTAATACTTTGTGTCTAAGTGCCAAGGATAACATTCTATACCGTTCTCTAGAGTAGCAGGTGGCAGATCTCCGATGACCGACTCGATTACGTTCTTTGGGTCTTCTTCCGTACAACTGACGACGACAACAGAAGCCGTCCCGTTTTCCGTTTTTTCTGTCATTTTCCTAAATCTGCCCGGGTGAGATTGACGGACGATGGACGTCAAATGTCACAGGGACGAGAACCGCTCCACGTGGAAAATTAGTGAAAGTCGCCAGAGGGGACGGATAAAGTGATAACCTTCAGGCCGGATTATGTTTACACGTCGAGGTCTCGAGCCCGTTATTCTCGTTCACCCTGCAAAACTCGCATTTACGCCGTTTTATGGAGAATTCCTACAAGAGTAAGCGCAGGTCTTTCAGTAATAAAATATGCTCCGTGCCCATGTGCAGCAACAGGACGTCTAAGACGATCTCTCTGCACAAATTCCCCCGGGACAAGCGTTATCGCGACCTATGGGCCAGACTTTTTCGAACGAGGATCGTCACGAAAAACGACTACGCCTGCAACGCCCATTTCGAGCCGAACTGCTTCTTCGCCACAAGTACGTAAAAATAATCGCACCTCTGTTTTTTTCTTTACTACTGTGAAATTTCTATATCAGCAGAAAAGGCTGTGAGGAGGAAGTTGAAAAAGGACGCGATCCCCTCGTTGAATCTGCCGGACAAAAATTACTGGAAGACCGCCTCAGCGAGGAAGAAGGAAGCGAGAAAGATCAGGAGGATCAAGTTCTGGAGGGCGAAGAACAACCTGAAAATCGACGACTTGCCACCGGAGCCGGACACGGACGAAGACGGAAACGAAGGCCTACCACTTCCGATCACGGACGGAGACTTTGCCGTAGAGGAACCGGCGGAAGACGAAGGATTGCCATTGCCCATCGAAGAAATACAGACGCCAGAAAACGACCTACAAAGGTAGACATCTTCCGATTAAAACATAATTAAAACACTATAGAATTATAGATTTAATAGTTTTTACTATCGGGTCTTAAAATAATTTAATACAAATTCCGGAATACACTCAACAAGAAAAATTTATATTTTTGGAATCCAAATTTGATTCCTGGCGACTTGCTTCTCCGCAGAGATAAATCTGACGTTTAGTCGTTTCCGATTATTTTGGTCCGCCCATCCTCACTACTTTGAAATTCCAGAAGCATTTTATATTTTTCGTCGTCTGAAGTTCATGTCTATCTGGCGTCTCAGCCTGCTTATACCCTGAAGTTGGCGAAAAGAGGAAACACCTCTTCCGTGCAATAGGCCACTACCTTAAGCGATAGAATTTAATTTGTAAAACGAAAATCGTTGAAGACTAACAAATATACAAGGGTTGATAATGCTAGGGAATTTCCTGGCTGGCCTGCAAATATTTCATGGTCAAATCTGCATGACTGAAAACAATTGTTTTAACATTTTTACTGCTGAAATAGCCAAGTATTGTGAATTTTGTTTAATCCATTCCTTATTAATTTAGTAAGATACACAGTTTGTCGTGTTCTTTTTCAGTGCTTGGCATTTTGAAATTGTTAGTTGGGAAGTGATTTGTTAGGTATCGCCACTGCTAACAAAAGAGGCTAAACTCTTGCTATCCGTTACCAAGTTTTAAACGGTCTACTGACACCTAAACTTCGTCAACAATGTCAAATTTTAAACGTTTATTTAATAAAGCCGAGGTAATTTCAGTTGTCAATATTCTTTTTCCGTTGATAGAGTTTCATTGATGTAGAAATAAAAAATAATCAGTCAATTTTACAGCGATTAAGCCGAATAAAGTAATCTAATTCTGCCATAACTCATTCACATGGTTGTATAGCCTAGAAAGGTCTGAAATTATAATTAATTGTAACATGATACAAACGTTAAAACAATAATGCTTAATATATATTTTTTAAATTGAATTGAAAGTGAATTTGGTGTTTATAGTTTCAGTGAAGACATGGATTCTTCCAGTGACGACAGGACGAAAGTGAAAAGGAACAGCAGGTCATATTGCAGTGTGCCTCAATGCGGGACATACGGCAGCTCAAATATCCCTATGCATTTTTTCCCGAAAGACAAGAAAGAAGCGAAGAAGTGGCAGAAGGTCCTTAAAATACGAAAACCGCTGAGCGCTTATATGCTCGTCTGCGGCCAACATTTCAAACCGACCGACTATCTGCCTAAGAGTAAATCTTCGACTTTCTTTTGTGTTCGTTCTTTTTTTCATTTCTGCCTGGCACTTCCGCAGGGGCAGACCAAAAATGCGGGAGGTTGAAAAGAGGTGCCGTTCCAAATTTGAATCTTCCCTCTATGAGTCGGGAAGCAGCAAAATCTATCCAAAGGAGGCTGAGAGAAGTGGCAGAAGAATACGCACACATGATGTTTCTTAAGTACTTTAACACTGCACCATACTTTATCTGCAATTAAAGCTTATTTTAAAAATTAATTAAGTTTTTTTTCAGCTGTCCAAAGGACCCGGTTATCAGGAATGAGTGCCTTTTGAAGCTACAATCAAAAATACCCGGTTTGAGTTACACTTCGAAAATTAGAAAACTCAGACAAGTAGATGAAAAAACCGTATCTGCTGTCGAGGCGAAGCTGGCCGAGTTAAAAGCTAAGGTTAAAAATCAGGATTATAAATGATTTTTTTTTTTTTTTTTTTAAATTGTTCTATAGTCCTACTCTGCTTAATGCATAATATGTTAACTGACCAATACCTATACAATTCACGGTGTTTCTTTTGGAATGATGAATTTTTTTTTACTAGTTCTACTGTGCATTTTAGTTACAGAAATTTGTCTTTTGTCAAACCTTGAAAAATTAATCAATTTGATGTCTTGTTCTTCCATAGATTCTTCACTTAGTCTCCTTGATTAGTATTGATGAGCTGTTTTATAATCACTCACTTACTTAGAAAAAAAAGGTTCCTTAATTTCTGGCTACTTTTGGCTATAGTATTTTTTTTTTTTCAGTAATCATCATGATCTATTGGTAACTTCTTTCCACGGACGATCAATATTTTCATTGGCTTTCATTATATTAAATGATTTCTACCATTTGTTTCAAGAATTAATTTTCTGAATGTGTTTTATTGTTAAATTCAAAATGTAGTTGTAAGATTTACAGTGATATGCATCCTATGAAGATTGTTAATATAATTAATTGAATCCTGATGAGACAACATTTGAAAAATAGCAGAAAGAGGAAAAATTTGAAAGGTTGTAGGATGAGATGAGGTGATGGTGTCTGAATATTTTTCGTAATGAATATATATGCTTGTTTGTTAAGCTTGTATGTTGTCTGCTACTATCACAAAGAAATGAATTCCCTTACAGTCATTCGTTTACCACCATTATTGTTAGAGCAAACAACCTAACTTAAAATACCGAGAGCCAATATGCAAGAAAAGTGTCTCAACTGAAAATGGGATAGTTTTTTAAGGGAGTACAGTTGGATTTTTAAAGTTTTGTATTTTTGCATAAGTCTTGGACAAAAAAATACAACATTGATGGATCATGGCAGTTTTTATTGCCAACAACCATAATAGCGTGCACTTATACATAAATTAAAAAAAAAGGTAAACTTCCATCTATCTCTCCTATAAAATTTTCTTTTGTTGAGTGTGTTACTTTTCTTACATTTGTGCGATATATGGATTAAAATATAATTAATATTTACTTTACAACTTAAAACTTTACAATAAAAAAATGCATTATATGACAGAGTTGTGCTAGATGGGGTATGACTGTATTCACTTTATTTTAATGCTTTATTTTTTTATTGATAATCAATTTTTGCAGAATGAATGTAGAATACAGATCAAACAGGAAATGAAATCAGATGATGAGATCAACTCTAATGATACGGTATTATTCTTTTTTCTTTGTGTCATTATTACATTTAGATTTCAAGGATATTAATGCACAAATGATTTGTACTGTTCTAGAATGATTCAAATCATTACGGCATAACATATGAGGAGGTAAATTTAATATAAAAATTATGTTGTATTTCACTAGAATGGGGCATTTGTTTTTCTTTTTTCAGATTCAAATGCAGGAACTGATGGAGGATTTGAAAAATGAGCCGGAAGATTCTGATATGGAGGGATACAGCCCTTTAAACATTCCTGACGAGTACCAAGAAGACACAATGCCAAACGAGACGAAAATTATTAAACGCCGTATTACAGATCAAGAGCTTGTTAGATTATTTTTGACGAATGCCAGTTTAATCAAGAGGTTTCTCAAGGATAAGACTTTGCTCCAGAAGTATCTCGATGTTGCCGAGGAAGTGCAAAAATCTGTAAACAAAGACAAGAAGGATGATTGTTCTGTGTTTGGAGATTTTGTAGCGAAAAAACTCAAGGAACTGCCCACGCCTGATTTAAGAAAAGAACTTCAGACTTGGATTCAAAGGGGAATTGAATGCATTGCTAATATCTAAAAGAACATTTTTAACTAACACTAAATGTAGTGTCTATGTATATATTGTTTGTAATATAAAAGACCAACTGTTGTAAATAATAAATTTAATAAGTCATTGTTTTATTTTTATTACTTTTAATTATACAATCCCCTTAAAAAGATTTTTTTTGAGCTGTCATGTGTATGTCTAAATTTAGCTTTTTCAACAATTTTGTATTATTCTAGCCTATTTTGTGTGATTCAAGCCAACTGGTGTGCTCTTAGAGTTGTTTATGATACTGAATTTTTCTGTATGGACTACCTATAAACAATTATTGTGTGGTATTTTTATTATTTAAAGATTGTAAGATGCAGTCTGGTGTGATGTAGGTTAGAAAAACATGTACCCAGCGATGTAGAACTTTTATGTTTAACCAAATTTTCATACTCACTCAGAGTGTGAGTTTTCTATATAGTCGTGTCACTGTTGTGTGACATGCTGAAAGTGTTAGTGAGATATTAATGTTTTTTGTATATATAAATTTAATTTTGAAGGAGTGAGGAAGGAAGTAGGGATAGAAAATTGTTTTTCTACGAGTAGTCGGTTTGTAGTTCGGGCCTGGTTAGCTTTCAAGATTAATCAGGTTGGTTAGGGATGGTACAGACAATATTATCACAATAATAATATTAGGGATTGGAGATTTAGACTATGTAGAATTGTTTGATGAATAGTGTAATGATTGTTGTATTATATGCTTTATGTGTCATTGACATTGGATTTGATTTATGATAATAGCGTACCTGCGGTTGAGTTTACATGTGTATGTTCTGTAATCAATGCTGTGTTTATCCTAGGTATTTATATTTATGAAATCATTTTTATTTTTATTACTTTTATGAAAAACGGATCTGAGGTTCTTCATTGGGTTATTAGCAATTAAATATGTGAAATTCGCAAGTGACTTTATGTTATATTTTTTTCTCTCTATCTTGGTTGGTTTTAATAATTTCGGTCTGCCTTACCTTTCTTTTTATAAATCACAAAAATTGTCTTTTTTTAAATTGTAAATTAATACATTTTAAGGTTAATTTATCTAAAAAATTATTTCATTAAGTTCAATAATTTCAGTGGTGATCACTTCTCCAGTGAAGAATCAGTTGGCAAGACTGTAGATGTGGAAGGCATAGCAGGGGTTTGTTAAGATAAATTTGTTAATGCACAACTTTTGTATATTTGAATAATAATCATTTAATTTAAAGTGTATCCAAATTAAAAGAACTGTTTAGTAAATGGATTTCTTTCATTGCAACGTATGCTATGTTCAACCTGAACCGACAAAAAGTATTAAATTTTTCCTTTCAAATTGCGGTCACTCTTTTTGCAGCAGCTGTGTCAACTCAAGTATGTTTTTCTATTGCTTATTCTATTTTGTTTTAATTTTGGGTACTTTAAGAGTACACATAAAATTCAGGGGGTGTCGGTGGCCAGAATGGTTCAGGCATTGATATAGTACTCATCATGGTAACGGCGTGAATCCAGTGGCCTTGCATTCGAACTCGACATACAATGGGCTTTCTTTCAAAAATCCTGAGGGTCCATATAAACTCTTAAAAAAATATTCATTGGGAATCATTAAATGTAATTGTCACAAGTAATTCAATTAAAGAAGCACAATTTACTTGTTTCACAACATAATTGAACATTTGTATAAAAGAAAACAAATACTCTTCCTTTTGTTTGAACTAAAAACAGGTGGTAGCAATTTTTTATATGTATTAATTTTTATTGCGTATAAATTTTAATTTACAGTAATTTGTTTACATAATTGTATTCAGTTGGCTCCAGGGCATTATCGCACCTTTATCGCCTAGTTTGCATTAAATATATGTTTAATTTTATCTTAAAATATATATTAAGCATAAAAGTTTAGGGGAAAAATATATTTAAAAAACTCCAGGCATTCTCAAAACACAATATTAGATGCAGGTTCATCTAATTCAATAAATAAGTGTTACATTTAAGTTTTACAATAAAATACTGGCAGGCCTTGAGAATCACCCACTTTGGGTGTTGGCAGTCTGGCGTCAGACTTCAGCCTTATCCGTCCAGCTACTGAGGTTGGGCTCCAAGAGCTATCAACAGATAGGTCTTTTCAGCCCCCAACACAATAATTCCTAAATCCATACACACTAACATTCTTACTCTTGACTATATTCTTCCTTATTTACATACCATTCACACAGCTAGAGTAGTGGAGTACTCAATATTCTTCTATCACCCTTTTCACCTATTATAAAGGCACACTCTTACACTACACATTCATGCCAATAAATACATTCACTCTCTACACACACTAGAGGACACACAACTTGTACTATACACAGTAAACTAGAAGTACCGTAACAGGGGAACAGAGACTTGCTGCTGTGCTCAAGCACCATTATCATTTAAGTGGGATTCCTATGCACTATATATATGAAGGCAAGGAATTGCACCATTAAATTAGGTTGAGCAACTTTTCTCTGCAGGCTGGACATTACACGGCTTTGACCATAAAGTAAGTGTAAGTGTCAGTGTGATAAGCTCGCATGGCCTATTCATGTCAAGGTTGACCCTTCTATGAGTCATATCCTCCTATGGACAGTGCTCTTGATAAGTGCAAGCTCATCTGCTGATCCAGCCCACCGACCCTGCCACATTCTTTTAATCATTGCGCTGGATCACGGCGATTTAAGTTTTATAGTTAATTATACTGACATTTGGTTTTGTTTAATTTCAATTTAAAAGTTCAATTTATTTAAAAACTTAAGGGCTAAATTTATTGAATAATTTTACTTGGCTAGCAATTTAAAGAATATTAACTGGCAACTAACTTTAAAACTCAAATTAGTGTTCAATTTCAACAAATTATCGTTAATTATTAATATTGGCAGCAGGTTTGATTTTAATAACTCTTGTTTATTAATGATTTGTTGAAATATATTTTAATTTAACAAGTCCATTATTCTAATAGATTCTGACAGATGCAAAGTATGCCAAACAGAGTGCAAAGTAATTCTTCTGTCAAATGATGTAAGTAAAAAATAAACAAATAAAACAGTTTATTTTTATGTACTGTTTTTAATTAAATTTCCTAGATGCCGGACCATATGAAAATCTTTTTCAACAATGTCGTTCAAGAAGCAAGAAGGGTCATCAGAATCCTATTAATACAAAATAGTCACTGTAAAATATTCATGGAACAATATGTTCCCCATTTGGTCAGTTATAATTTGCTGATAATAATTGGTTAGTCATTATTTAAACTTTGGTGCGATTAGGAGAAAAAATGCATGTTTTTTACTCAAAAATTGGAAGAGAAAAACAAAGAGGTAGATGCTTTAAACAATAAAATGAAGCTGTTATCAACTCAGGTAGAAGGGATGAAGAGGTATTAAAATATATTTTTCAATTTTCCTTTATAAACAATTACAAATCAATGTAAAAATCATGACTGCTAAAATTTTAAATTATTGCAATGTTGTATTATAGTTGTGGCCTGCATTGTCTCGAAGTAAAATATATCAATTGCTTTGTATTATTTAATTTTTTAGGGACATTTTAAAGTTAACATCCCGGGCACCAAAAACACCACTGTCACAAAAGAGTTCTTTATTAGGATCAGAAGCAAAAGTTTGGTCTATTATTATAAAATATATTTGTAATTATAACCACTTACTTATTAATTAATCCCTTTCAGTCACCTTATGCATTTATGAATTCACAATTTCGAGAACTGTAAGTCAACAAACTGTACTTAAATAGCTAGCTAACATATCTGTGTTAGCGAGTCCATGTAAATTTCTAAATGCTTGCTCAATGATTTTTAGAAATTCAAGTGTTTTCATGACCCCGGCTCCTTCAAACACTAGCAAGTATGCTTTAATTTATTTATGCTTTTTTTGACATAATTGAATCAAATTTTAATTTTTAGTACGATGACTCTAAATGCACGTTCACCTTTTCATTCTTCACAAAGGTATTATTTTAAAATTCTAACTTTTTCTTCCAAAGTATCAGAGTTTGATATTTGAACTTAGGAAAGTGACAATTCCAAGAAGTTTACAATCAAATTCATCATCAAATCACAGTGAAATGTATGTGTACACCTCCTTAATTACAAATATAAACATTACCAATGAATAATTAAATGGGAGAAAAAAAATTTAGGTCTTCAGTTAACACCCCTCAACAGCAGTATAGTGGAAGTCAGATTTTTGTCATGTCCGACAGATCACCAAAAAGTGATAGGTATGTTTATATACTGTGTTTGTACCTCATGTTGAACATTCCAAAAACAAATATGCCCTATAGTTTAAATTTATCTTTTAGTTATATTTCATCACAGAAAAAGCGAGGTTCAACAGTTACTCAAATTCGGACTTCTAATTTGCGAAAAATGAAGAATTCACTCACATCGAGAATTACCAACCTCAAGTGAGTGTTCTTACATATCAACATAAATAAGTTATTTCCTGATCAATTGCTACTCTGTTTATTAAGACATTGGCAAGGGTTTCAATTGCTCTTACATAAATACAATTGAAAAAGCTTTTGAAACTTGTGTATACTTTCCGTAAAGAAGTATATGTCTTGTGATATTAGTTTCATCAACTTGCAAATGTCCACATTAGCTATATCAAGGTTTTCTCAGTAATGTGTAGCCACAAAGCAATATTGTCTTTATAAACACTGAGTTAAAAAAGGTTTTTTATTTTTCAGTACGAGCTATTTCTAGGACTTAACCCCTGCATTTTTTTTGAGATCAAAAAAACAATCGAAGGAAGAAATTATTTGACTGGTTCTTTCTGCTCAAAAATATAGCCTTTTTGGTGTTACAGTTTAAAAAATAATTATTATTTGTGTTACTTTATTATTTCTCATTATTTAAAGAACAATAAATTAGTTGAAAAAGTTTACATATTTTTTTAACAACTGTCAAAAGGAAAGTTTAATTAGATTTGCTTAGTATTAATAAGGGGCCAAGTAAAATAATTTATATTTCTTTAAATTTTATGCTATAAGCCTGCATTATTTGTCTACAATCAAACAGCGAAAAGCTTTTAATTAAGTTTCTTTAAAAATGTTAAGAATTAATTCTTGCCAAGCTGAATTTGTAATTTAAACAATTTAATCACATTTTCTTACCCCGTTACCCAGCTGTGTTACAAAATAAAATTTGAAACGTTTAATCAACAGTATATTTTTAACAGGTATTTAAATTTAACAAATGTAAACATATAAATATAACCCAACAATCAATTTTCTAATAGCATTTGATACAGTTATTTACTCAGCATCTTTTTAACCGCTTCTACGATATTTTGAGGTTGCGGTACTGACAACTGCTCAAGGCTATTAGTGTAAGGCATCGGAATGTCTACTCCTGTCACACGGATGACTGGTGCATCTAAGTGAAAAAATACCTCGTTCTCCATAACTCTTGAGCATATTTCCGCACCTACACCACTTTGAGGCCATCCTTGTTCAACAGTGATCAAATGGTTTGTCTTTTTGATTGAGTTGAAAATCATCTCTTCATCGAGTGGCCTTATGCTCCTCAGATTGATGACTTCACACTCGAAGCCCTGTCCAGACAACTCTTTGGCCGCGTCCAAGCAAGTATCAACGGCTTTCGAAAAAGTCACAAGCGTAATGTCCTTGCCTTGTCTTTCGATTTTAGCTTTACCAAATGGTATTAGAAAATCCTTTGAGAGAGCTTCGTCAGAGACAGGGAACTGTGTGCCGTATAATATCTCATTCTCTAAAAATATTACTGGGTCTGGGTCGCGGATCGATGTCTTCAAGAGTCCTCTTGCATCTTCTGCACTGTACGGGATGACCACTTTGAGACCTGGGCAATGGGAGTACCAAGCGGCGAAGCATTGAGAATGTTGGGCCGCTACCCCGGCTGCCGCGCCATTGGGCCCTCTGAACACTATTGGTACGTTGATCATCCCGGCAGACATGTAGAAAGTCTTGGCAGCTGAGTTGATGACATGGTCGATGCCTTGCATCGAAAAGTTGAACGACATGAATTCACAGATTGGCTTGAGTCCTGCCATCGCAGCGCCAACGCAGATGCCTGCGAAGCCCATCTCCGTGATAGGCGTGTCCTTCACCCTCTCGTCGCCGTACTTCTTCCATAGACCCCTGGATACCTTGTAAGCACCGTCGTACAGGGCGACCTCCTCGCCAATGAGCAGCACCCTCGGGTCTCGCTCCATCTCCTCGTCAATAGCCGAATTTAGAGCGTCCCTCACAGTCATGGTCTTTCCATAATTGACCTTACCCGTCGAGAAACACCTCAAAAAACCGAGACCCCTCCTAGGCAGCATCTTCGATTTCTAGTTTGTCCTCTACCGTAAGCTAAGTCATTCAATAAAACCTCGTCTAGGAAAACAATAAAAATTCCTTTCAACAGAAAATCAGCTGGCAGTCTTATACAAAAAAAACTTCTTCAACGGCCAATCACTTACTCTAGATCTTATAAATAACGTATATAAAATTGGACTCACAATCACAAGTGTAGCCTATCAAACTTATCAAGAGTTCTACCTCATAGCTGAAGATTGTGATGCCAAATATCATAGATTGCAGGACCTGCACGATTTTAAACAGCCCGATTCAATTAAATTGCTTGAAAACACAATCTTTTTTCTATTTTCTTTCTTTTGTCGAATTTAAATGGAAATATTAGAATATTTGTTTTTATAGAATGAGCCAAAATTATAAATAATAAAACTTAAAAGTTATTTATTGCGTATAATGACGACCGTCGAGTTTTTTAATCGTACAGACGAGGTTCGAAAATAAAAATCCTCGAGATGAAATTTGTGCTGTATCAATTTAGGAGGTGCTGGTGGGTTTGTCGGTGGGGTCGTCGGACCAATGGGCTGCCTCGGATTTTCCCGGGCCGTGAGGCTCACGCGCTTTTGGGTTAACCAGCTCAGTTTGTCTGTGAAACCGTCTCTGACCGCCGGCGAATCCCCATCAACGAAACTCGTGAGATTTTCAAAAACCGTTTTTCTTTTAAAATATAAAATCAAACTCGAAAATGACTTCAACGAGCACCAACATCGGATTCTCAGACAGCACCAGGAACTCAAGCAAGTAAGTTTCCGTAGTAATTCAGTTCTGTATCATTTTAGTGGTTTATATTACAATAGAATTTTTTTTCTTTATAATTTTCCTTTGCCTACGTATTGTACAATTAAATCTTTATTTTTACCTGTTAAAATGATTTCATTAAAGATATATTTTATTAAAATTATTTATAGGTTGGGTTTAAATTTCAGCGTAAAAGTATCATCTTATAATTAAGAAACTTATTTGGCATAAATTGTAGAAAACTGCTGGATTTTCTTTTCTTTCCCTTACAAAAAAATTGACTGGAATTCGCTTCTGGTAGGTCTTACATATGCACGTAGAAACATGTATGATATATTATGTTCCTAACGTAATTAAAACAGTAGTAATGCTCGTGCCAATTATGTGCAGATGCAGTTGCGCACAAGCGCACCTGAACATACACAACTAAAGCCCAAGATCAAAGGCGAATTTTTAATTTAACTCTGTTTTAACTTCGTAGGGTGATCATTTGTAATGGAAGGCGTGGCTGGAAGAGTATCGATCAGCATCCACACTTGTAGCATCCTCCTCCAACCCTCACGTCCAAAACAAACCCATCTGTTTCGTCCCCTGATCGACCAACTCTTTTGGTTTTGACAATTTTAACTATTCTCGTCCGACTCTGTACTGATTAGACAAAAAAAATAACTATACTTATAAGCACATTCATTTTTTAAAAGGTTTCCTTTGATTTAAAAATTGATATGAGATAAGCACTACTGGAAAGGCCGATTCTCATCTGGCTTAGTTTTTTTGTTAAGTCTCGGTTCTTTCTGGTAAAATTTAATTTACAAAAAAGTCAGACTTAAAACTGTAATAGTAAGGGAAAATGAGGGGAATGTGGATCGAACTCTGGGCCGGTCGAGACGATCTTCAAGTCTTCGCACGCTTCATCAGATGCAAAATCCCGTCGAGCCTTCTGCTTTGGCGGGCTGAACCTAAATTGAACGTCACTGCCAACCGACATTTTTTTTTTTGAAATAACAGTATTGTAATAATCGGTGGAAAACGCGTAGCGGTCTCCCGGCCTAACACGTGCCAGGATAATAAAGGGTTTTGACGGTTTATTAAACGGGTTAACTTACACAGGTACATCTTTGTTTTCGTCCATTGTTTTTGTTTTAATTATAATTTTTTATGAGATTTCCTCTTGGCGTTGGCAGGGTTCCAGTAGCTCATTTGCGATCATTTGGGACTATCAGACGCGCAAATTTGCAGTGGGGCCAGTATGGCAATTCGCTTTTTGGAAAAGTTAGTTCCGCTCAAAAGTTCTGTCAGTACAACTATCTTTTCCAAAAAGTATCAAATACGTTGGTTTTTAGTTAGGCACACAAAACCACAACAAACCTTCAACAATACAGACTTAAAGTTTTACCCACTTTTGTAAAGGATGGTTGTACTCATAATTTTTTTAAAACATCAATCCGGATTTCTAGTATTTAATGCAAATTAACATTTAACATCTAATAAAAACAGTTTGTGAGTAGAACCTCACATTATAAAAAGTGTATCGACATACTCACCCCACCTCAATTCTTTGTATTGTTGTTATTTTTTTGTTTACTTTGTGTATTTTTTCCCACGGTATTACTCACACTGTTTTTTTAAATATAATATAATTTAATTTTATAAAAAAAACAGTGTGAGTAATACCGTGGGAAAAAATACACAAAGGTAAACAGAAAACTAACAACAATAGAAAGAATTGAGGTGGGGTGAGTCGATAACATATATATACATATTAAAAAAACAAAAAAAACAGCAATACTGTTTTTGGGTAATTAGTAGAACCATTCTTTACAAACAGTGAATCAATATACTCACCCCACCTCAATTATTTTTATTACAATTAAATTTTTTCCCTTTGTGTAAAGATGGCTCTACGGTTCTACTCAGTTTTTTATTTAGTTTTTAAATATTTTTTTTTTATGTTTTATTTTTAAAGCAGCAATCCTGATTTAGAGCATTTAGTGCTGTAAAAACAGTTTGTGGGTAGAACCATTCTTCACAAAAAGTGAATCGATGTGCTCTCCCCACCTCAATTATTTCTATAACAATTAATTTTTTTTCGCCTTGTGTAAGGGATAGTTATACTCAAACTTTTTTTTAATTCATTTATTTTTATTATTATTTTAAGTTTTTTTATAGCAGCAATCCGGATTTCGTGCAGTTAGTGCTGCTAAAAACAGTTTGTACGTAGAACTGTTCTTTACAAAGAGTGAATCGACATACTTCACCTCAATTATTTCTATGACACTTAAAATTACTACTTACATACTTGCCTAACAAAAAGGACGAAAAATTGACATACTTGAAACACAAAATATCACAAACACAACACGTACAAACTCATGAAATCACAAATCAACAACTCACGCACATTTACAACTTACAAGATCAAAACATTTAACGACCGACTGGAATAAAAAAAATAGCTTCAAAGACATCAACAGATAAAGATAACGCCTACTCAATCTTTTCACGTTTCACGAGAAACGTATAAAAGTAACCCGGCGACCCACCACTGATGATGGTGAGAAGGAACACGCCCCAAAAAAAGCCAGGGTAGGCGGACCAAAATGTTCCTGTATGTAATTATCTGAAGGGTATTTGTTCCATGTATTGTACTTCTGCAGTTTGTGAGATCACTTCTACGAATATGCCAAATAAACAAAATTTACATTAAAATGTGATTTCTGAACAGGCTACAAATTCTTGCTTAAGGTTTTTTAATTTCTTAAATGTCCCTGATAATAAAGCAACCGACAATTTATTAAGTTGGAATTACTTGGTATTGTTACATTTGCCAATTTATGAAATTTCCTCCTGAATTTGTTTGGTCGTTTCTGAACTTTTCCATCAGTCAGACGTATTTTACATTTTTCATTGATTTTGCTTAGTGTTAATGACGAATAGTGAAAAAAAAAACAAAAAAAAACCGACTATAAAGAGAATCATAATAGCCCAAAAGCCGGAACGTGTAAGACAGACCAAATATAGATTTGACAACATGAGATGAATCGAAAACAAAAATGAATCGAAATTGTAGACGGTATTTCTGGTCCGCCTGTCGTCGCTTTACTCACCTGCACATCTCCAGTGGAAATGTAACAGACTTCCTACTGAAACCCATATATAATTTAAAATATTTATGCAGATAGATTGGAGTGTATATTGTAGTACACGGGGCGGGGAATTGATTATTGCTATCAGTTTTACTGTTATATTGTTTGTAAGAGTTGTTTCATAGAGACATGTGACATCGAGGCATCCCGAGATTTTCTATCTTTTTAAATATATATATTTTTTTTGAAAATTTTACAGACCCACAATCTTGACAGTACATACATCCAATTTGCCTTGAGTATGTCGTAAAGTTTAATTTTAACGATAATTTTATTCGTCGGTTCAGTTTATAATGTATTTAAAATCTTTTGTTGAAAGGCTGTTTTTTAGTTGTATAGGATAAGCCGAACAAAAACCCTTAGGCAATTTGTTTGATAGAGTAATGGGCTAATAAAAATCCAGGAAATGAAACTAATTTTGCACATTTACAACTTAAAACAGTAAAAAATTCTTGCAGTTTAACGATTCATACGTTTGTAGTCACATGTCTTCTCAATTTGAAATAAAATTTATTGGACATAAAACTTTTAACGAGTTTGTGTTGATTAAACACCTATAAATATTTAGGGTTGTAATTGTATTAATTATTCATAAAGCTCGTGCTTCCCTCTAATGAATAAATTTTAGATTCAAAATCGGCCTTAAATTTTATCTTTAACGATAATTTATTTTGCACAGTTAGCTCCAACTGAAAGCATTTCTGAGGACGGAGCAGATGTTGCTTCTGTGGCTCTTTTTGCTTCGCAGCGTTGCTAAGTACAAAAGCTTTTGTGGTATTGTCAGCCTCCCTTGCGTTATTTTTTTTGAAAGTGGTTTCTGCTTAGGCGCAAATCAAAAACCCGATTGATGAAGCGTAATTAGTCGTTCATTTCATATTTAAATTTTTACATAAACAACCAAAATAATATTTTCATCTGGAGCGTCCATTACATTAACTAAAATGATCTGTAAAACTGAACTTAACATCAAATAAATGTTTCATTTTATCAAGTGACCTCTTCCCCGTTTATAGATTTGCTCCCTTAACCCTGATTCATTTCCACTAGTTCCACATAAATATAACAAGGGAAGTTAGTAACGATAAGACGACGTCGTTCAGTGATTTAACCATCCTGTTTGACTGATTAGAAAACTGAAGTTATCAACGACTAAACTCATTGCTTTGATTACAATAATTAAAGAAGCTTTCCAACGGTTTTAGTATTTTTTGTTAATTCATTTTTAGGGATGGTTAATGTTTATGTTATCAAGTTTCATTGATTGTTAGTTTAAATTTTGTTTTTTGAATAAGTATCGATGTGTTTAAAGAAATATGTCGTAGAAATTTGATATTTAATTTGTGCTTTTAATTCGTCTGTTGCTTGTAATTGAGACGTATACTTAAAGAAAGGATTTCTATCCTGTAGGGAAAT